GACAGCCGACGCATCCGCGTCAGTGAAACAAACATCTTTCCAAGGAAAGCTAGAGAAGAAATCTCTGAGCCCTCCCAGTCGGCATGTCCGTAATGCCAAGTTTTGCGGCCTGTACGATTTTCTGCTGCCACAGGGGGTTCTGACCGAAACCTAACCTCCACAACACTGTGGTCTGAGTTACCCAGGGGGGACAGGACAGCAGTGCTGTAAGGGGCAGGATGCGTGGTCAGAAAGAGATCCAGCAGGCTACTGGCGTGTGACGAGATGCGGGGGAAAAAAGTAGGACTCGTCACCAGCTGAGTCAGCCCTTGGGTAAGAGCGAACGCTTCGACTGCACGACCTGCTGCGTCAGTCTTGTTTGAGCCCAACCAGCAGCAGCAGCACTGAGTACTGACAGATAATCCATGAATCTGTAGACACCGCAAAACATAATCAGGATTACTTTGAGAAAGTCCATCTGAATAAATTCGTGAAGAAATTGTTGATGTAAAACGGGAAATACAGCATTGTAACGAATTTTTAGGCAGGATACGAATATTTACCGTCGATATCCGCGAATACGAATGCGAAGATTCAGTCTAGCGTTCCAGGTTTACCGATTTTTCAATTTAACGAAACATAAGAATAGAGCACTTTTCAAAATCGAGTGGAGCTCAAGCACGATGCCTCCCTCCAATTTCCAATCACCGGCAAGCTTTTACTTTTTGGTTTAAAGTCTACTGAAATCCACCAAAACAAGTCGCAAGAATATACCGAAAACAATCCGTCTATACCTGGTAGCACTAATTCAGTTTTCCTTCTTTATCATCACATCTTTACGTAGTTGACGAAAAAAAAGCTGTGAAGCATTAATTTTTAAAGTTTAATGTTTCTTTAGTTCAGCTTGATTATTATGTTGTTTAACAAAAGTTAAAAAAAGGAAATAATAAATATTTAGTTTGTGTAAATATCATTCATTTCTACGAGAAGTTTAAGAAAACAATTACGATTTTTAGATGTATTTTTATTTGTAAAGGATTTATAATCAAAGACCGATAAAATTATAAAATAATATATTTTTGTTTGTTGGAAGGTATTTCATAATTATGTTCCTTAATGAGAAATATCTGATTACTTATAACTCTAAGGAAAATATTTTTTTGAAGAATGAAATTTTTGTTTGCTTGTTATTGTCTGTTTTATTCAAGTACAATATTATTTCCATAGTCTATTTTTTTGATATTCATATTCCCAACACATTCGCGTTAATTTCGCGAATACGAATGCGGATAATACATATTCGTTACATCACTAGTTTGTTATTTGGCGCGAAAGCAAAAGCATAAGTATTCCAAGATATCGTGACTACTATAAAAATGTTAAAGCATTGAATAACGTATTCTACTTTAAGATAGCCAACCATATACTGTATTTTGTCGCTCAAAAAGAGATCTGAAATCTGAAATCCCTCTTTGGTGCCTCTGTAATGCCTATTTTAATTGGGTATCTTTAGGCATTGATTAACTTATTGGACCTGAAGATACCCAATGAAAATAGGCATTAGAGAGGCCCAAAAGGCATTAAAGATCCTAGTACTATTAATGAGACTGTTGCAGAACCAAACACACCAACTCTTAACACTGTGCGCAGGTATTTGAAAATCTGACGATCGCCACCTACCAATTTTGCCAAGGTGATGTTCACCCTCATCCCATACGATGAAGACTGCAGAGTTACCCTTACGTCCTCTAGCCCATAACCGCTGGACGTTCTGGGCTATGCACAGAGATGTCGCACCGCACCACTATCACGGTCGACTGTTAAGTTGTCGGATTACTAACTATTCACAGAGCAAACCAGTAACGACTTTTCTTCATATATGGACATGTTGACATTCCGTCTTCTATAACCATGACCAACCGCATATAGCGCTGATTTGTGCTTATTAGCAACTCATCAGTGCGGAATAGGTCTCAGATCTAGTCTTGGAGACAGATGAACTGGAAGAAAACAAGTGGATATGACCTTGACCTCTACAACACCAAGGTCCGAGTTACTCAAGAAAGGCGACATTGCTGTAGAGGCCAGATCTCTGCTTAGGAAAGAAAATTGGACTATATTTAGGTACCAAAACGGAAGAGAGTAACATATCACATCGTAGGCTATTAATTGCTAGCACGGCATGCCTTTGAATTAATAAAGTTGGTGCGTGCATATTCCACTATATTCAAAGAGACTTAACAGTAGTGTAAGATGACAAAAACGTTGTTACAGAATCACCAGCTACTTTAGCAGCGTTTGTGTGAACAAAAATAACGTTTTTACATTCCTACTCGCTGACAAGTTGTATAGATTTGTTTTTCGCGTCCGTTGCCAGCTCCCGGGGGTTCTCTCTTCGTTTTTACCTTTGTTGTGTTTCACCGCCTCTTCATTTGCCTCTTTATTGTATTTGTTATTTTTTTAAGAACTTTTAGGGTATTCAGGGCTTTCTCGCATGGACTCTTTGTATTAAAGGGTCCAATGTATCGGTTTTATAATCGAGGGACTGTCCTTTTTCGTCATTACTCTATATGTAGAATTTCTTTTGTTTATGATGTTTATTCATGACGAAATAAATATTTTGAATTTGAATTTGAATTTGAATTTGAATGTGTTTTTCTACTCTCTTCTGTTTCAGTGCCAGACTATAGTCACTCGCTCGGCCAGTCCTTGGTTAAATAGCAAGTTTTTCGGGACGTCAAAATCCAGGATAATCTTGACAGAGATATGGTCAAGTAGCAGTTGCAATTTGAGTGTTTGAGGGTGAATGACAGAGGCAGCAAACTTATTTGGGAGATGGCTTAGCCAAAGCCACAAGATGTCCTCCCGGTCAGATTCTAGAGGGGCAACTCTGGGGCAGCAAACAAGAACTAGAACTTCCCCCTTTTTGATGAAAGTTGAGTTCAATTCGTAATTTAGAAAACATATTTACTATTTCGTTTCATTTTCGTCGTATTCCATTTTAATTCGTCAAAGATTTATTCTTTACTCGAATAATAACTTGTTTCACTACATCATGAACTCTGAACAAATGTTCAAGAGCATTGGCATATATGTAGCTTGGGCGTACACAGGAAAGCGCAATCATTAGTAAGAGATTTCCACCCAAACTTTTTGAAGAGGGGGAGGGGTAGCACATTTTCGCAAGGGGAGAGCAGATCCTAAAAATACTAAAAATTGTATATAACATCATGCGAAGGGGCCGCTGCCTATCGGTACGCACGGCATATAACATATATTTGGCTACAGCGCCATCTATGAGGCATTAATCTTCCCAAAGTATATATATATATATATATATATATATATATATATATATATATGAGCTGTAGTCATTGCCAAAGCCAACGACCAGTTGGGTACAAAATACAATTAATTGTTAATTGGGGGGAAAAGTGGCTTAAGGCGTAGGCTTAAGTTGACTCTTTTGACGATAAAATCAAGCTTTCGGCATTCTCTATGGAGCCTTCATCAGGATTCTGAAAACACAATTGTGATGCTAGCAAAGAAAACAGGACAGATTTAAATTGTCAGACAACAAAAGGACGGGGACATTGGGTTTGTTATAAAACGGCAGATACCTTCGTTAAATGTTAAAGAGTCAACTTAAGCCTAAGAGTTTTGCCAATTTTCCCAATTAAGAATTAATTGTATTATATACATGTATATAGTAAACAAAGAAACAGCTGTGACACATTGTCATAGATGACGCGCGAATCTACCATTAGGTTGTATATCTCCAGGTAGGATACGTTAATCATTGGCAAGAGTTACCGTGTTCGTAGACTCGGGCCCGATTTTATTAATCCTGGACATAAAATTGCACCAGGGATACAAACTCTATCTATAATTATAATATATTATAAGATAATAATTATAAGAAAGCTAAGGTAATGGATCTAATACCTACAGTCGATTTCTTGTAAAATATCTCTCAAACTAGAGACGATTTGTATGGGATGGACTCCAAATTCCTGTATTAAATCAAGAAATACTTCATAAATAACCTGTTTCAGCTCGAAGCATAGACCAAATCTGATGCAATATCTAAATTGATATCACAGCAGTTACTGATCATTTCATTGAAAGTAACAGTGTCGCAACTTACATGAGACAGATAATTTCGAAATTTCAAGTAACTTTTTAGTCAATGCACCATCCCGTAGAGGCCGCCTGCAAAATTATTTTTTTATTATGTTGCCCATTATTTTCAACATAAAGAGAAACGTTGACGAAAGATATGTTTACAATGGAGGTTAATTGATGAATTCAATTCAGTCGACTTTTCAAATACTGCAGTTACAAATGGCAAAGTCTGGCCAATGGCTATCCATGCTTAACTATGTCGTAAGCTTATTGCTACCTTAATCTAAAACTTAACCTAAAGGAAAACAAATCGGTAATACAAAAAACGTAATCAAAAAGTATATCGCTTAGTCAGCCTTTGTGTCAAACCTACGCATCAGGAAGAGACATAAGATGAACACATGATTTAAACTGTAGAGAGAAAAAACAAAAATAAAAAACAAGCTTTTAATAAACAGATCTTATAGGTTTTTTCGCTAAAGTTGGTGATAAAATTTGGTCAGATAGAAAAATCGACTTCACTATATTGTACGTGAAAAAGCGTTGAAATATGGCTGTCCTGTATTGTGGCAACGTGATGGGCTGGTTGTTGCGCGTATTAATATTGTGATATTGTAAATTGCTTAAATATTCACCTAACTAACAACCAAAATTTACTTTTTCTCAATTTTCTTTGGTATTATTGTTGGATTTAAATTTGGTTTTATTAATTACAAGGTAGGTAGGAAACGTTGGCGATTGGCGGAGTTTGTGGCATAGTTGCAAACTTTTGGTATTCAAATGAAAAAATAGGTTTCGGTAGCTAAACCAGGTGATTTATGAAGTATCTAGGTATTAATTTAATAGGGGAATGGTATAATTTTTCTCTATTTTGAGAGACATTTTAGAAGAAGTCTACCATATTCATTGGATCTGTTACTTTAAAAACGGCTTATGATAAGTCGAATTGATGCCAGAGACACAAATTTTAATTCCCGCAAGCTAATAGTAAAATCATGCATAAATGGCTAACTCAATAATCTATTCTGCCCAATCAATAGTGAACACACCTCGTCGACCGTACTATATTCATTGGGTGCATGCGATATTATGGCCGGTTACTGGTAGACCGTTTCGGTGGGGCGATCTTCGTCCATTCCATATAAAATCAATCGTGAACTTGGACACCTCGCAAGTTCTTCCGCTGCCCTTGGGTTAGGTTGTACCGCAATGAGGAGTTTCACGGTAAGTACCCGAATCACATGATCTACAAAGATTAACTAAAAAACAGCTCTAATATGCGCTAACTAACCAACAATAGGATATAAAGGGTGTCGTTTATTGACCAAACCCATTATGATTGTAATGGTCAATTTGCTGTATGATGAAATGCGTTTTTTATTCTAATTATAATAGTTGAAAGTTTCATATTTATAGTTTTTATCTTTTTTAACATTTCTACATTCTTGTTATATATTTCTTCTCTTTATAACGTGTTAGGTATATACAAATTTCTTGTTAGACATTATTATCGTAATTTTCACATTATGTCTTAAAAATGATAATCTACGGAATCTTAAGATCGCTAGAAACATCGAATTCAATTATCTAATTTTATTACATACCACAACTGTACATTAACAAATCGTATAGAATTGTAAATAAGCAAAATAAAAATGAATGAATGAAATCAGGTACACAAACTTAGTAGTATGCTTTAATTTATTATAAATAATGATAACAAGGTAAACATATGCAAATGCCTTGAGACCTACAAACAAAGGATTTGCGACCACTGTAAAAATTGACAACCTCTGTTAGTCCAAACTCAACTATAGTCCTAGTTTTCAAGATGTATGCATTCTGCATTTTTATCTCTTTAACACTTTTCTGTATACATCTTAAATGACCATCGTGGTATGATTGATCTTACTTCTCATTTACACATACTTATTTGATCCATAGTTAAACGTTGGATTTATCACTTGCTCTAATAGTGATCTTGGACATATTTGGAAAATTCATATTTTACTCTTCAATTTGTTCCTTTATCGTTCGTTTACTTCATTCTATGTTCCAATAGAGAGGTTGATATAAACGGCCATAACGTAACATGTAATTCAATATACTATTTTTGGAATAATGGCAAATAGCAAAACATTACATTTTAGTTAATTTTAGTATCTGGCTATCTCCTAAAATTTGCATATTTAGTATAGTTTTGTGTGCCATAGTTGCTTTTTTACATTAAAAGTTGGTAAATACCGATTAGCAAAAATATTCAAAACAATCGCACATCATAGAGTTTCGCTACTTAAGAAACTAAACTTTTTTTTCTGAAATTATTAATATTTCTCAGTCAGCTTCACAGTATAAAATTAGTCCAGTTAATGTAGATTTAGTAATCGGCTAAACTAAACCGTAATACAGGATACCTTTTAAGTAATTAAGTATTCTAAATCCTAACTTCTACACAACATAGACAAAATGCTCCAGGTACCCTCAATCTTGAAAGTTCCCATTTTATAAATTTAATGCTGTAACTGCGATAGTCAACCTTCTACATTTCGAATAGGAAGATCAAACATCTAAGGGATAATAAGTCTTCAATCTTGAGTGAATGAATTAATACTAGGTCTAAACAATAGAAGCGATGGCGGCTTAAATACAATGTTAAAGGAGTTGCAGTTATCAACTTGTTGCAATCCAAATATGAGAGAGACAAAAAACTCTAATAAGGAAAAACCCATCGTATAGAATATGCTAAAATTTACCGAACTAATTTTTCACTGATAGCTATGTCTCAAATATACATTATTTATCAACATATCCTGCAAACCTGAATGAGAAATAGCAAAAGCCAATTTTAATAAAGATATATTACAGCCTCAACCCTAACGATTTTCTACAGATTCTTCAAAATGGCGATGACTCAAAAACCGGGTCATCTTAGCGCATATAATACAAAATAGTACTGAAGGTCCGTTACATTGAGTATTTCGCAGGATAGATGTAAGCCATTTATTACCTTGATAAATGTTGTAAGCTATGGCAATACTATTTGAATTGCAGATATTCTGCTATTCTTCAGATAATTGTTTGCGAACTAATTAGTACTAACAGCGGTTCTCTCTTTAAATGCATATTGAGCCAGAATCGGCATTTAAGTCACAACAGACAATAAAAAATTAGATACACATTGAGATTAATTAACGATTGCAAAAATTTACATAGAGAACGCGAAATGTGCAAATGAAGGAGGTTATGTACTGATGAGGATTGCAACAATATGAACTTTTCCATATATTTGAGTTGGATTTTTTGTATTTAATAATTCCAGTTCATTTATTTTTTTTTATTTGTCTGTCGTCTGACTGTATTTATTCTCCAGAAATTACCACTGGATCATTACAGCATACATATAGCAACATATTCGAAATGAATTGAAATAAGTCTTTATTGAAATATTACATTTTTATTCAATTTAAGCCTCAATGGCCAAACATTTTTTGGAGCTAGTAAATACTTTATTATTACACTAGCTTTACGTTTATTAAGTACCTATTTTAGGCTGTAGTAAATTTTTAGGTGATATTGAAGCATTATTCATTTTGCAAATATCAAAGGTGTTAGTTGCGATTCTTTTGGGTGGTCTTTAAGCTTTTGTATCCAAACTAGAAAATGCCATAGTATAATAGTCTCTCAGGTTCATAATCATAATGAAGAAAATCGATTTGTATTAGTGCTTCACTTGTACACGTCTCAAATCTTTGTTTTGAAATACTGAATTACTTAAAAAAAAGCCTAAATTTTTGCACTTTTGTTCAAAATTCACCCATTTCCGAATATTTAACATGGTATTTTTATATGAACGCATGGCAGCAATACTTTCTACTTTAAATCAGTAATAAAACGCACTAAGATACAACACATATATGAAAATAGTGTGTGTATTGATTTGTTTCAAATTTTGTTTTTATTGTGAGCACAGTCGAGAAACGGATGTATTCTTATGTGTTCTGTGTCGTGTCGTAGTGCGCTTTATTATGAATTTGGAAACACTCTTACGAAAATACGGAGTTGAATATTCGAAAATGGGTGAATTTTGGTCAAAAATATCCAATTTGAGACCTTTGTTTTGTTAAATAACAATCAAATACTTAAAAATAACAATGTTGATGAACGTTTAAAATACGTATGTTCTAAAATATCTAAATGTAAACATTTTACAATTACTTGAAATATGAGTTATTTCATGTGCCGAAAAATTCGGCTTATACGTGACGCGAAATCCGGCAATACCGCTGCGCGGCTCATTCTTGGCTCAGCAGCCGTCTGATATGGAGCTTCCCATTTTTGAACCCGCTAAGTACAAGATTCGTTCCATAACTCGTTTTTTGCACTCCAAAGGGACTCCATCCGTGGATATTTATAGTCAGTTGCCAGAGGTGTATGACGGCAAGTGATTCAGTGAGTTTAGTGCTGGTCAGAAGGAAATTCGCGAGGAAGATCGAAGTAGACGACTGTCAGTCTTGGAGGCGGTCCAAGGCGAAGCTCTTCAAAACAGAGGAATCACGGTCCGAGAACTTGTTGCTCAGATTCCTTGAAGCCCACGGACTGTAATCGTCTTATTCGACTTTGCGTTAGACCACCTCGATAACTGCCGCCGAGACTGACAGTCGTCCAGTCCGTTCTTCATCGTGCACTTCCTCCCGTTCGGCACTAAACTCCCTGCACCACTTTTGTGCATACGTTTGTTGCCTTACGCCTATCATCCGTTGATGAATATCCTCGGGTGGAGTCTATTCAAAGTGCAGAAAGCGAATTATGGTATACAATCTCGTACTTGGAGGGATCAAAAATGGGAGCCTTCATATCGGGCGGCTGCTGAGCCAAGAATGAGCAGCGCAGCGAAGCGCTGTTAGGAAGAATCCAGAGTGCACAAGCTTAGCGCGCAGTGGTGTTGGGTGTTTCGCCTTGCGCCTTCCATGTATCCTCGTATAAGATATTTGTTCTTTTAAAAATTATTTCTAACTAAACAGTTCTACTTCTTTCAGCTATTCGCCACAATCGTGGCACTAACTCAAGCTCGCCCAGAGCCCCCGTCATCTGGCTACAGCTACCCAGTACCTTCGGTCGGTCTCGGCAGTGGTTCTAGCATCGGGAGCATCAGCCTATCAGGCCACGGGTCCGGCTTATCCAGTCACAGTGCCAGCCTAGGAGCCAGTTACGCAGCCGGTCACGGTCATGGTCTGTCATTTGGCGGAGGCGGAGGATTGTCATTGGGAGGTGCTGGGTTGAGCCTAGGCCATGGAGGTTCCTCATTTGGTTCTAACAGCTTTGCTGGATCATCTTCCTTTGGCGGCTCATCTTCCTTTGGCGGAGCCTCATCGTTCTCAGGAGGATTCGGCCATGGCGGAGGTTTCGGAGGCGGCCAGTTGGTCCAGAAGCACATCTACGTCCACGTACCACCACCAGAACCTGAGGAGTACCACCCACCCAAGCACTATCATGTACCGGCTCCCCAGAAGCACTACAAGATCATCTTCATCAAGGCACCAACTCCACCCACGCCTACGGTACCTACAATACCTCTGCAGCCTCAAAACGAAGAGAAGACCTTGGTGTACGTCTTGGTGAAGAAACCTGAAGAACAGCCTGAAATTCAGATCCCAGTCGCACCACCAACACAACCATCCAAACCAGAAGTGTACTTCATCAGATACAGGACCAACAAGGACGGCTCCGCGGGTGGGTCATTCTCAGGATCCTCCTTCTCTGGGGCATCTTTCGGAGGCGGAGCTTCACTTGGTGGCGGAGCTTCACTTGGTAGCGGAGCTTCACTTGGAGGTGGAGCCTCACTTGGGAGTGGGGCTTCCTTAGGGGGCGGAGCAATTTCTGGTGACTCGTTGGACGCATCGCAGGTGTCGCTGACTGGAGGTGGATCTGATTTGTCTAGCGGTGGTGGACACGGCAGTTCATTAGCTGGCTCAGTGAGTCTGAGCTCATCATCATCTGGATCATCTGGTCTATCGACCAGCTACGGACCTCCAGGACACGTGAGTGGAGGGCCCTATTAGAGACTGTGCGCGTGTGCGACGGGTAAATTTCGGTGACGCTTATAAAGACAGACCCGTGTTTTGTTTTGTAAATAGTCATTAGGTTTAAGTTGTTTTTCGTTGTGATTTTATTTGCTGATACGGTGACAAATAAATGTATTTTTGTATAGACTATGTTTTCATTTCTTTTGCCATCACTCAATTTCAGTAACGGCTGAGCTAATTTTGATGATTTTTGGGTCGCGCTATGCGGTATACATTATGGATTTATAATCAAAAAACAAAAATAAAACATATTTTCTCCGAGTGGCTGTTTCCACATGAAAATAAGGACCGCGAAACATTTTTGGGATAGATTTTTTGACCTTATGGCCATATAAATTCATTTGTTTAATTTGATGGGATAAACTAAAATATTTCTCAATTTTCTGGTTATTTCAGTACAAAGTGAAACATGTGTGAAGTTGCACAGAATCTAATACTTCGTTGTTTTTTTAAGTTGCGGATTATCAAGTAGCGATTCCTCGATTTTTAAAATTTTTAAATCCCCACATTTTCAGTTCATTTTCGAAATTACGGTCATTTCATTTCAATATTTTTTCGAAGCATCCTACATTCTTGAAAAACCATTTATTTGACTAGATATTTTACTATCCATCTAATACGAATTATAATACATATTTCACGTTCTCTGAAAAATATGTAGGCATTCCAAATTTCTTAAACATATAATTATTACGGCACCGAAGATGTCGAAATCTCTGTCGCTGAACATCTGCAAAGGTTTGGAATATAAAAAAAATGGAAACCAAGTTTATCTAAAGGTTATATGCGTACATCAAAATGTCAGTATGATTATTTCGTACATGTATCATTTTTTGCAATCTCTAAAAATAATTGCGGTCGTTACAACATGGTCACTTCCTTAATTTGAAAATGTTATTCGATTTAAACCAATTGGTAACAATTTGTCAGAGAAATCCTTTTGCCTTATTCTAGCTTTAGCTGAATTAATTAAAAATATTATGTTTCATAAAATGATTCGCTCCATCTGGTTCCGAATGAATAGAATTTAAGTTTGTTAGAATTATCGGTTTTTTTTATAAAGCAGATTGTTACCAAAAATACACTTATGCTGCAACCTATTGGAACAAAATGCGAAAAATATTTCACGGTCTTTCACGTCGAATATTTTTTCTTATTTATCTAGAGAGAAAAATCCATCATATTTTAGAGGCACCTGACAAACACAACATTTAAAAAAAGAATAAGAAAATTGGAATATTTAGAGGTAAGTTAGATGAACAGAAAATTGTAGGTTAAGCATTTCGTTTAAAGAGTGTTTTTTTAAATAATGGCTCTCTTTGGACTATTAATAACAAAAAACGAAAGCATCAGCTCCATTAAACAGAAACTTTTACAAAATTCATTATGCTAAAGAAGAAATAGTCAAAATTTCTCCAATGCTAACATTCGAATCGTCCGAAAAAGAAAAAGTGACCGCTCCCTATCTACTTTCACAAATATGCAAGACTCATTAATATTAATCAGCCAGATCGTTTTCGGAATCATCTTGATGTTTATTTCTGCTCCAGACCTACTGGTGTTGCTTTTGATAGACTTTTATTCGTTTATAGCGTATGAATGAATTACTTTCTCACCTATTATTGTCGTTCAAATTGTTGAGCATTTTAAGTAGCTTACAGTGACGTTTCAAAATGGCTTTGGATGATGAGGTCTTTTTTTCACTGAAGCAGCCGTGAAGGCACCATCTAAATACCAAGGTACCAGGAGTGATACTAACGTATGGGGCATAAGTTTCGAGAAAAATTGTAACAGGCTTGAAAAATGAGTCTGATAAAACTGATAGTGGACCATTGCCGTCAATATCACGCAGTTTGGTTGAGATTTATCTCATCTTCCGTTGGACGATGTTCTTGTCCACTTGCCGATTTTTTTTAGAAATGCGCTCCCGCAATTCTGTCGTGTGACAGCAGAACCTAGTAAGTCACTTTTTATCAGGTTTGAGAAATAACATATTTTCAATAAACATTCGGCTTTCGAAAAGTTTAAGTTTTATGAATATTAAAAAAATTGTCTGAAGGGTTATGTAACTTGCTAAATTCGATAGCATCAATTTTATTCATGTGATAGTTTTGTTTATGGTAGAAAAGTGACTTACGTTTTTTTTTCATGGTTTCTTTTTCGATATTAAATTAAGATACTTTAGCAGAAAATGGTAAGTCAACTTACTGATTTTTACAAAATTTCGACTAGAGAAAATAAAAAAAAAGATATTGTAAGTGTACTTACTAAGGTTTTATTTGATATAATTTATGTGCGAAGGCGAACACAAAAAGTAACATATCTACTTACTAACTGGAAAATAAACATTTGAATGAAAAACGGTGGAACATAAAACAGCAAGTCTACATACAAGAAGAACAAGAACTTAAGCGCTAAGCCTCTGATACCACACATAAGTCTTTGGAATTATCATTAGATGGCAAAAACTGCCAAAATAGTTTCTTTCTTTCATCTTTGAAGGATGGTACCAATTTTTTTAAAATTGTTTCTCTTTTTTCTGAGTTCAATCCCAGTGGCTCGACAAAAGGATGTATAGGGAATTTGAGATCAACTTTTTTTTTCAAAAACTCGACTTCCTGAAAGACAGTTTCATTATGGCATTCTTTATAAAACAAGTGTCTGCATCCTTTCCGAAACTGAGCGAGCTTAATTTTTTCAAGAAGAGGTATATTATTGCTTTTTCTTTGTTTGCTTCCATCTTCAAAGAGGAAAAAATCAAAATTATTTATAGGCAAACATTTAGTTTTTTTTGAGGACTGCTCAATTATTTTCAGAAGCTGTTCAAAATCATAAATGTTTGGGTGTTTTTTCATTTCTGTGCTGATTCGGCCATGAACCGAATCCGCAGCCATAAATGAATGGCCTGGTTCAAAATATTTTAGGGTGATCTCTTCTGGACCCCATTCACAATTTACAAAAGTCGCAAAAGCAGAATATAGTGTCCAATTCTTGTTCTGAGCAGAACAGTTGTCTACCCAGAATGTAAATTTTTTGGTAACATTGTCTGAATTTTTTATTACGTTGTAGTATGCCGATGCAACATCCGTCGCGGATCTGCCTCTTATAGCCTCATGCCACATCACGCAAATATTTCCGTCCTTATGAAGTGACGCAAACGTCTCATTGAATACGACCAACCTGCAACAACAAATATAGAAGTATATAAAAGTTTAATACAATTATATATAATTATAAACGAAGTACCTTGAAACAAAAAAAGATTCCTTGGTTGACATTTTGGGCAAGAGTAAGACTTTCTGCATATCTACAGCATAGACCTTCTCATCTTGTATTACCTCTTGATTGGAGTCATTTTCATAGTGCTGTCTTGCTTCCGTATAACTTTTTTTGTGGTTTTCGAATTGACAACAAATCTTGCAACTACTTGCGTCGCATTGGCGAATAATGTGAACTTTATATTTTAGACACTGAGCGCATTCGTCTTGGGATGGCTTTTTAAACCCAATATTCTGTTTTTCAAAAATTCTTCTGTATAGATCATATGAAATTTTCTGTAGATTACAGAAGTCTTGCCACATGTATTTAATGGTCAAGTCAGGTGGCAAGAATCGTCTATTCGGGGTGTGCTTTAAATTATAGTGAGATACTACCGGATTGAATGAGTTTATATGCTTTATGACAATTTCCTCTGTTCTCATTTTTTGTTCTTCTAGCATGCCTCTAATAACTAACCCCCTTTCATCCACTGTTTGTGCAATTCCTTCTACACTTCGCTTTTTGGAATGTATATGGCAAGTTATCCTACCATCTGTTTTAAGTCCTAAAGTATGCAAAAACATTGTTTTGCACACTTGTATTTTTTCAAATTTAGCTTCAGTTTCCACTGGAAGGGGTAGAAAATATTTCAGAGAAACATTCCTGGAAGAGCGCTGAGCCTCTTGCCGCCTTACTTTGATTTCAAATTGTTTGATATGAGCATCCAAAAAATGTCTACGCTCGCCAAAGCTGAGTCTCCAGAATTTCGTTCTTATCAATTCTCTAAAGTTCTCATCATTGATTTTTGAGCTACATTTCTGCCTGCAATTATTATGGCATGATAGCAGTAGGGGGTGCTTTTCTTGCTTGTCTGGCCTTTTTGGGAAACTCTGCAGTTTGCATTCACATTCTCGTTGACTTTTTTCAAAGGCTGCCTGTTTTTGAGGGGCGCAAGAGATACGTCATCAAAGTCCGAAAATTTAATTTTTTTCCTTCTAGGGGATACTGACGGCTCATAATTTGGGTCTGCATCAGAATCGTCATAATCTGATATAGGTTCTTCATCATGTTGCTGACGCTCTTCGAGAGGTTCATTTCTGAAAGATAAAATAAATAGAGGTCAGCGGTTTGAATATATATTTCAAATACGAAAACCGTATTGCAAGAATTAGCTTTTTGTTTGTAGTAATTATAATCTTTTATTTTACTGAAAAAAAAAACATCAAACTGCAATGTTACTCCTGAGTTAATATTTCATTTGGCTTATATGTAATGTATGATGCTTGCACTCACCTCTCTGTAATGCATAAACTCGTTATGAATTTTCCTCTCGACATATTCTGGATATTAACTACAGTACTAACGTTAAACTAATTCGCGACTGTCCTCACCGATCCACACTCTATGCCAGTTGGAACATGACTGCGGAAACGCTGTAGCATGCATCCGTGCCTACACTCAATCGGCTTGAAATCATGGCATGAAAATTTAGCAAAAACTAGCAAGTGCGTTTACGACGGAGTCTCCCGCCAAATTTCCTACAAAAAAAATCTTCAAAACGTAGCATGTAGACATGCCATCATTTGTTGATTTTTTAAATGCTGTTCTGATGACTTACTAGGAAACATGAGACAAAGATATACGATTTAGAGTGCGTCTGAGCGAGAGAAAAAAATTCAACTAGTAGAACTTTTTACGGGCTTTTCAAAAATGACGTAAAAATGTACAACCTAGTAAGTCGACTTACTAGGTTCTGCTGTCACACGACAGAATTGTTCATTTTGGGCCTGTCACCGATGTCATAAACTTTTCGGCACAGTAACGACTAAAATTATTCGATTGGCGCAGCTTGTGCTGCATTTGGCGAGATTATCTTCTCTCTGAACATAAATAATGTTATTCTTTTTCAAGCAATCCCGTGTAAAATGCATTGCTGCCGTTCATTTCTGACTGCGACAGCGTAACATACTTTCAGCATCCATTATAATCATGCAGCTTACAAAATTTATAAACCTCGAAGCCCTGTAATATCCAAGTATTCTTTCGAGTAGTGCGTGAGTGTATTTGGGGGCAAAGTTTTTGAAAACGCAAAAAAAAAAACGGAGAAACTCCTAATTTATGGCTTTGAATAAAACCTCTCTTTAGAAAGGACAACACAAATAACCCATCTGCAAATATCACTGACTTCATACACAAGCAGTCCAATACACACATTCATCCAGATGCGATCTTGCTACTCAACCAATTTTCTTTCAGACACATCTTTCCAGAGAAAGTTATACTCTACAGATTATCTCGGCATTCTGCAACTAACAAAGCATACTGGGGAACTGACTTGCAGCATGGTTATTGAGCGTGTCGTTGAGTGGTACCTCCATAGATGTCGCTTTTGGTGGAACTAGCTAGTCACCAAGTTGACCTTTTGTCGTATTTTTACATTATATAGCTGTTTTACGTAATAATCTGCGGGTGCCAGATGGAGTATCATTTTATGAAAAATAATCTTTCTAATTCATTCCTCTAAAGCTAGAACAAGGCAAAAGGTTTTATCTGAAAAATTGTTACCAATCAGCTTAAATCGAATGACAGTTTGAAATTTAAAGAATGGCCATGTTGTAAGTACCGCAATTATTTTTAGATTTTGCCGAAAATGATATATGTGTGAGATAAACATATTGACATTTAGATGTACACATATAACGTTTACGTAAACTTGCTTTCCATTTTGGTATATTCCAAACCTTTGCAGATGTTCAGTGACAGAGATTTCGACATTTTCGGGGCCAAAATAGTTATAGAGAAATTATAGTAACAAAAGAAATATGGATGTTAATATCTGGCGCTGAATATATATATTATATATATATATATAGGTGAAAAATTAAAGCTTCCGCCTTTTGTTGGGTACTTCGACAAAATTTAAGCAAAGAGGACTCTTTATACTTTTTTTAATTCTCTCTAGCTTTCAATGGACTCTGCCATCATTATCAGGAGAGTAGTATGTGAGGATGTTGCTAATTGTTGTTTTCGTATATAGTGGATACCAAATAAAATCCGATGCACGTCATAGGTGATGTCATTCATAAAAATCATGGTTACCAACAGTTGACTACATTCAATGTGACATTTCTACTTGAAGTTTAAATTTCCCCGTCTCGATTCTGTTGGTAGTGCCGTGCAGAGAAATGTGAGGTTGCCACTTCTCATTTGTTGACATCAGTTGCCATTGTCCTTTTGTCGTACTATTAGTTCTTTATTGTTTAGTTTGTGAGTTTTGCGCTATTTGAGCTTTGAATCGTTGCCTTGCCAATTTAAAATTGTTCTTTTCAGAACAACAGTAACTGTGAAGTGGTGTTAAGTATCCAAAATGCCAAAACAACTTAACAGTCGGTGTAAAGAGCTCATATCATTGAATATCTACCAAAATCAGGTGTTTTTATTCAGAAAGGAATTTAATTTTACAACAAGTTTATTTATTTTTAATATAATGGTATTATAGTAAATGGTAGGTATATATAAACAATTTATTTTATTAAATTTATTTGCTTAAAAGAAAATGTGCAAATTCTGGCAACAGCGCACAGCTCCAGATCGATGACGTGCATCGGGTTTTATTTGGTATCCACTATAGGATGAGGGAAACGTCCAGTAACATGGTGAGAGCTGGATACATGGTACAATGGTTAAAATTATATAAAATATGACAAGACAAGTTAAAGACAGATTAAAAATTATTTAGAAATAATAATCCTATACGAAAACAACAATTAGCAACATCCTCACATACTACTCTCCTTATGATGATGGCAAAGTCCATTGAAAGCTAGAGAGAATTAAAAAAAGTATAAAGAGTCCTCTTTGCTTAAATTTTGTCGAAGTACCCAACAAAAGGCGGAAGCTTTAATTTTTCACCTAACTGGTCTAGACGACAATGTCCACGTCTCAAGTTATATATATATATATATATATATATATATATATAAGAAATTTGGAATACCTACATATACATATTTCAGAGAACGTGAAATACTATGATACGTATAAGATGGATTGTAAACTATGTGGTCAACTAAATGGTTTTTGAAGAATGTTGAGTGATTCGGAAAAATATAGAAATAAAATTACTATAAATTTGAAAATCAATTGAAAATGTGACGATTAAAAATTTTAAAAATATCGAATAATCGCTACTTATAATCTGTAACTCAAAAAGAAACAACTAAGTATGAGATTCTACGCAATTTCACACTTTTTTCAATCCATCCCAAAATAACCAGAAGCTTCAGAAACATTTTATTTTATTCTATAAAAAATATATTTAAGTATTCAAAAAACCTTTACCCAATCTCAGCTCCTTATTTTAATGTAAGTAGCTGCATCTTGAAGAAATAATGTTTTACTTCTGTTTTCTTATTTTAAATCCGCAATGTATAACCGTATACCTCATAACGCCATCAAGTCCTCTGCACGGTTTTGTGCAAGACCTTAAAACGGCGACCCAGCTTTCGGCTGAATATTCCAATTCTGACTTGAGTGCTACTAGTCTATTACCGCGTGGATACCTTTCTTCACAGTCCCTTATTGCCCAATAAATGGTTGCCTGGTTAACAGTGATTATTATGTGTCTAAGAAGCCAAAGAAGATCTACAATTTTTACATGAATGCACACATTCATTATTTACCTAAGGTTTTTCCATTAGTAATATGCATTTCTCTAGTGGGAGATATATAATTTCTACTATAGAAAAACTAAAAAATGAAGCTTTATTCGAACGTAAAAGTTGTCTCGGTTCTAAAAAAATATGGTGAATGTGCAAGGCATACCCAAAGCACTCGGCAGCGAACACTGAGATATGAGAATTTATGTTTGTTTTAGCTTAGTGTACCTGGTGTATTACGGTATCTAATTACAGTTAACTGGATATAATAAGCTTTGTTTCACTATTGTTACTCTAGCTTTTATGACGATGTTCAGACGAAACATCAGCTGCTGCAATTTTTGCCGTTGCAGAGTAAACCCTAGATGCGTGGATAGATGAACTAACGTCGTCAACCGTGATATAATATACAAGGCGGTCCATGATGATTGCTCCAAAAATAAATCATACATTTAACTCGTAAAAGTAATGATATTGAACCAAATATGCATTAGGAAATTGTCGCTTATTATTAATGATACATGTGGAAAAGTTTGTATGTCATACATAACACACGTCATCATTTGATCTAGGAGTTATCATGTACTCTATACACTAAAGTTTTTGGGGCAGCTGACCTCTATGACGTCAGGTTCAAGGTCATATCAAGGCAAAATCTGGCGTTTGTCTTGCCCACTAAACCACCTTTATTCGACCTTGAGGTTACCTCTGGATGTTCTTGCCGGTTAAAACAAATGCCAGCTTCGGACTCAGCTAGCTTTAAAACGTTTTTACATATGTTGAGCTTCAAATAACCTCAGTTTGACTTTGAAATAACTTCTGGATGACTTCATCTGGTAAAACAGGTCCCATATTCAAATTCAGCAACTTTGAAAACGTCCTTGTGAAGGTTTTCAAATATGGACTCGAACACTTTTCCGGAACAA